TGCACCGGAAATGAAAACAAATGCAAAGTTTAGCAGAGAAACAGCGACGAGAGCCCACCTACGCACCGTGCCCGACGCCATTTCAATCAGCGTTGATATTCATTTACCAACTTCCAGAATGGTTTCTTCCGGGAGGACAGTTTGTGGAAGTACTGAGTATTACCACATGATGTCGCTGCTGGACCAGTCTTTTTCGGTTTGATTTCCCTTTTAGGTCTTCCTACAAGAGCAAACATTATATTGCATATTGATGATAGTGTTACTCATTTGTTTAGTTAAGTTGACATAATGGACAGAAGTTAACACACGTTTTTTTTTAAAAAGGCAATTTTTCATGGTTAGCTCCAGTCTAGGGTGTCTTACTAAAATACAGTCAAACATTACTTACAGGTATCTGCTGTTTTCATACTGACTACAACTCTAACAAGAAACAAAGAGCACAAAACAAAACTCAAGACTTTTGCTCAAAATTGGAGTGACTTTATTGCATACAGGAAATTGTTCAAAATGCTACACATTCATTAGCTTAAATGTTATATTCTTAGTTTTACAAAACAAATATGTCAGAAAAACACAGACAGGTGTATGTCAACCTGCACCAGTCTTCAAATGAGGTTAACTTCACCCCTGTAGCACTCCGGGTGGTAATTTCTGTCAAATGATACCACTCGAATAGACCCCTGAGACCCCTGAAACAATACAAAAAGAAGGATAATTTGTTGAAGTGTCATGGTGATATCAGTTGAATGTTTTGCCTTTAACACCTGTAGTGTCTCCTCTTATTTTAACAATGCATTCAGCTCACCTCGGTTGGCAGTATCGGCTCTCTGCATGCAGCACACAGAGGAGCTTTGACCCTGAAACCATAAAGAAGTCTCAGTAAAAGGTCACAGAAACTCAGAAGTGAAGACACTGGGTGTGACTCATCTGTTGTCTGTCTGGCATGGTTTGGTTTCCTCTTTTGTCTGGAGTGTGAATATAAGGGCTTGGCCCATTGTTCTGTGTAAGAAACTCACTTGTGGTAGTCGCTGACACAGTACACTCTGCTCTCTGCGTCCACAGTGAACTGCTGCCCCTCCAGGCTCTGTCTGCAGACCACACAGCAAAAGCAGGACGGGTGGTAGGACTTCCCACGAGCCTGCAAGACCTGACAATGCAAAACAAGCTTTTAACAACGTGAGAACTGGTGGAAAGTTGTAAAGTGCCTTTTCTCAAATACCGTAGGCCTACTTATGTACAATTATAAAGTTATTGTACTTGCACTTTTAACTACAATACATTTATTGTATAACTTATATTGCTTTTCATATTCAGAATATTATTGAAAAAATATTTTTAACATATACAACTGGAAAGAGATACGACTGTATTCATCCCAAACACTATATAGAATGACAACACATATTAATGCATCAAATATTCTAATTCAGTTACAATAAATTGAAACTCTAAAATAGTTTTCGTGTTAATATGTTTGTACTTTTACTTTAGTAATATTCTGAAAGCTGGAATTTATGTTACACTGTGGTATTGACACTTTCATTTAAGAGATCTGATAACTTGTTCCACCACCGATGAGATAATGCACCGCATATAGTATAGAAACCAGTAAAGTAATACATACTCACCATGTCCATTAATAAAAACCCACAGCTGTTACACACTTCTGAGGATGGATGAACCCCTGGGTACTACATTAGATAACAAAATTTTATATGGTTAATTGCCAATATTTCTCTAAATAATCTAGGTCGATCACGTTTGTGTAATATTTTACTCTGTATAAAAGGTAAGCTCTAAATAAAGGATATTCTTACCATAAAATCTTTCACACAGTAAATTCTTCCTGACACTGTATAAAACGGCTTTCCTGTGAGCTTTTCACCTGAACATGAAACAAAGGACAAAACACATGGTGACCTATTTGCATAATGCAACATTTGATGACATACAAAAATATTAAAAAGTCATTTTTTTATAAAAAACAACAACACTTAAATTCACGTTCACAAGCGGGTTTAAGTCATTTAAAATACAAAACATCACCCTCACATCAAGATGACTCACTGCAAACGCAGCAGGTGAAACAAGTGTCGTGGAATAAATGTCCCATCGCACGACAGGCTCTCCCTTCACCGTACACCGCTTTCCCGCAGCCTGTACAGCTTCCTGAACACACAACAAAGAAGAGAAACACAAACAAACTGGTTACGGGGAACCCTACAGAAGAGTATAGGTGCCAAGCAATCCAAGAATTAACAAATGTGTAGAATAAAGTCAAAACGTTGACATTTTGAGAACCAAAAATAAATATATCAAGAACATTTCCAGAATGTTAATTTCTTACCAAAGTAAAGACTGGGACTAAAACTTGGGTCCATCCTCTAGAGTATTTCTCCAGTTGTCTCTGCCTGCTGGAGGCTACGTTACAACTGTCTGGGGTCTAATTTTATGTGCTGGGCAGACAGCTGTAAGTGGAGCTGCTATCTGGGATCATGGGTGTTGCATTCGGTGCTTTTGCTCTGAAACTTCCTCAGACCCTCTGACTTCTCCATGGTGGCAGAGTGGGTGGCAACACGCAAGACCAACTAGTACCTTTTTGCACAATTTAGAGATACATAATCCTTATTTATAAATTCTGTCATTGGATAATATTTATTGATATTGTGTGTATCACTTTCTGGTATATTTTATCATTTTATATTCTGCTGGCTAGTTTCTCCCCTAGGGTTCAGTTTAATGTATATCCATAATATTACATCATAATCTATTAGATAATGTTTTGTGTTATGAATCTGACCGTTCAAATTAATTATCAGATGAATGTTCTGAAGTAATAGAATGGAGAAGCAAATACCTACTGTCAGTAGAAGTACCTAAACATTCTACAGAACTTGAAAAATCTAGTTTAGTTATTTTCCACCACACACCCAAGGTGTATTCAGATCCCTTGAGTAAGTTAAATGATTGTCAAAGTACTGCAATTCAAATATTGCATATCTCCTATTTTCAGTATCAAAAGGCCCTTTTTATTTGAGTGTTACAATAAATATTATTATTGCATTAATTGACAAGCAGCTTTCTCTGTTGAAACTGATAGAGATGGAGTTTGGTTTAATGACTTGATGCACAGATAGTTTTGTGCACTGGTTTTCAATCCTCTAGGAGGTCAGAGGTCAAGCAAGGCAAATGTAATTGTGTGGATAGTAAAACATAATGTTAACTAGGAATACAGGTTTAGATTACATAAAACAGCATACATGCAACTCTAGACCAAAGTAATTCCACGTGTGGGCCATCTGACATATAGGTTTCCACATCATTATTTTTACAGTGTGCCAATGGGTGTGGGCATACTACCCCGAGCGATGAGTCTCTATGTATTACTGTAAACTCAACAATCTGTATATCCATGATGAACATTTTGAACAGGAGCCCTGAAACCTCTAAAGCCTTTAGTCTATAAACCTTCAGACATTAAAACATGATGCTGCTCATATATCTTGTGTTACTGCCCTCATGTGGACTGTTCAGGCATTTTATATCCTATGACCTAGAACCAGGCCCGCCCAAATAACAGTTAAAAACAAATGCTGTTATTTGAGCCAAGATATCAGAACCAATTATAGCTATAATTTAGTTGCCTGAATTTAGTTTGAATTTAATGACTCTAAACATTACTTTTCTCATCGTTTTTCCTCACATTGTCTTGGAATTTATCTGTATATCATCAACAATAAACAAGTATTCATAACACTATTTGACACATTGTGCAACCTATTATTTCCGTACACTGCATCAATAGCACATTGCCAATGATCTTATCTGATACACTTTAGCCATGAAACTCCCGACAGCACATGTTTGGCTCTCCTGGGTCTGCTACAGTAACAGTGGAGGGGAAGTGTGTGACAGCTGCTGATTCCTCACTGAAGTCTCTTGTTCAGACCCACTGAAGCTGTTCACCACACCGCCCACTCTGCACTCTGTCAGACTGGTTTAACAAAAAGATTGGAGTCGTTTTTGTTTGAGTGTAAACCTGTGTGATTGGGGAGACCAACATGTCCTTACACAAAACACAAAGAGTGAGCGCTTTCTTTCTTTCCTTTTTACCATTTTTACTCCTTCCTAGGCTATGTTGAGTGATTTAAGTTAGGGGTTTAAAGGGGAACGAATGATAATGTTGAAAAAATGGCTTAGAAAACTGCACCACAAATGTGTGTTTCCAAGACGTGGTCTTGCCCTCAGGTAGCTATGTTTGTTTCTGTGCAGGAATGTCTGCGTCATGATAAGGCATGTGGAGGCAGGAGGACATGGGAGTATATTCACAGCATAGACATAGTATCTTGACACCAAGCATACACACTAAATTACGTTTTCATTATCATTTCACTATGGGAAAGAAATGCAACTGACTAAACAAAACCTGACATTTAAATGTAAACACATTACTCATTCAAACTGTCACCACACGTATGACATCATTCTAATTAAGTCCTGTTGTCTATTCATATAATACTATCAGATTAGAGGTATTAGAGGTAGTACTATTGATTTTGGGTAATTCAAACATCCTCTATTTTGAGCTCTAGTTTCCACACCCCTGCTCTGCCTTCACATTTTGGGGAAACACCGCACCATGCCAACTATCCCTGGCATGTTTGGCTCTTTATAAATAGGGCATCCATTGTGCTACACAGTGAAGGGAGTCATATTAGGACCCAGAAGTCTTAACCGTGTTTTGCAGCTCTGCAGTGTCTCGGCTCAAGGGTACAACGCCAGTGCCAGATCCTCCTCACCCATCAAGTTTGGGCAGGTAACCATAACGTGCCTGAGGTCCACGCCCTCCTGCGCACAGGTAATGCAGAGCAGGAAGTGGCTGTCAACGCCGTCGTTGTTGCTGCTACATGGATGATACTGCAACCGTGTATTTAGGAGAGAAACAGCACCTTATATATTATCTTTTTTTTTTTACTTTTCTATCTTTTTAAACAACCGGAAAATCCCATTTTCAGTGAACATGTGGCTTTGTGTGACCTACGCGCTCCTGGGACTTTTGTTTTTGACGGTCTTCGACTCATCAGGTGGGATAATAAACTGTCTTAGCAAGAAACATATGCTCTTATGCTGTTTTGTGAAGCTTTATTTGTCAATGCTCTCACTTTTCCTTTTTAAAGAAACGGCTAAAACATTGTGTCTTAATTTCAAGTTTGTGCGAATTGGGTCAAACATACAAATGAGTTGAGTGCATGCTGTCTATTGTGGGGAAACGCACTCAGGCGAAACCTCAAGCAAAGAAGGAGTCATGGAAAGCACTCTGGCTAAAGCCAGCAGTTTTAAAAGCTCAATACATTAAAAGATAATAGCAGACATTACGTTAGCTTTATGTATCATTTACTGGCTTGACAGTGGAGATGAGAGGCTACAGCACAAACACAGTCTGTGTGTGACTTCTGGACCTCCATTTTCAAAAGGTTTATGAGGCATTTATGGAACTTCCTGGGGGCATGAAATCATCATGGCTTCATCAATGATTGACCTGCAATCTGCTGCTGAGCTATCAATCTGGCAGGCGTTTTATCATTGTTTTTGCTAGATTTAAACTCAGTGCTTTCCCCTCGCTAATTCGTAGGCTATTTTGGGGAAAATGTCATAAGCACAATGGAGGATTTGTTCTATTTTATAGTTGTTGTGCAAATGATCAGATGAACTTCCTTTCTCCCTCTAAATATGACTATTTGAACCCTGTGACTCCCTTGACCCAACCAATGTGTACTGTCACAAGAAACAGTACTGCACTGTTGCTCTGTGGTGCTTTCAAGTCCTTGCCAGTTCAAATGGTAAATTATTTGCTTCTCTTTATATGTGAGCTAACTGCACTATGCTTTAAAAACAGTTAGTGTTTTCCAGTGAAACTACAGCTGCTATATAGCTTTACAGCTGCTGGTGTATCACATTTAGATGGAACTAACGTTGTCATCTAAGTCTGTAAAAGGCAATTTTCCTGAAGGGAGAAGTTTGCATTTCCCACCTTTTTTTTAGAGTCAAATATTACAAAACAGCAGTAACTGTTTAAAACTGGTCCAACTCGAGTTCCTCTCTTTTCCCAGCACTTTGGTGACTCACATTAATGTGAAGTTAATACATTTGATTTGGTCTGGCACTACACACCATGGGGATAGGTGTGCCTGATACCACTCTGTTTGCTCAAGTGTTTGTGTATGCAAGTTTTGACCTTTTATAGCCTGAATACTGCTGAGGGGTTGCATTTATATTAAATAGCTTTCAGGGGAGCTGCTCAAACTAATCAACACTCATACTCAAGAACCTTAAACCAAAGAATGTTTTATATTTATGTCTTTACAAACTTGCTAAACAGTTATAACTACATTTCATGATAATCCCTCCAATGGTTGTTGAGATATATCAGTCTGGACCAAAGCAGTCAACGAAGGGGCAGATATTTCCATACTAAGAGCTAGCTAGCTTAGCCAAGAATTACCTTAATGACTTAATGATAAAAAAATTTTGCCAAAATAGTTGCAGATTAATTCTGTTGGTCCACTAATCAATTTATCAACTTAATGTTTCCATGTTATCCATGTTTTATATGACATGGAACAATGATGCTTATGTTTGTGCAACATCCAAAGACTCAAGTCCAAATGAGGTTATCTTCCTTAGCACACTATCCAATATCTGAAGTCCTTTTGAAACCTAATCCAATCATAGATCACATCTTTAGATTACGATGACAGTAACTAACATTTTCATGGAATTTGCATAACCCTCTGTGCTCTGTTCCCTCAGAATGCTTACAGACAGTGGTCCGACCTGACAAAGGCTCGACAGTGACGGTGTCCACTGAGCTGTCGCTGGATCAATGTGCTGTGTGTACAGTCAGTGGGGTGAACGACACACTGACGTCCTGCCACTCCTCTCTGGCTCTGGTACCTGAGGAGGAGGTCAAACTGCTGCTCAACTGCTCCCAGCCCCTCGAACAGGGTTACACTGTGACGATCGCCAGTATCATTGGTGAGTTTTCTAGAGTTGCTCTTGTTCAGGGACTTAAAGGACAAAGTATAGTTTTACTCTGAAAACTCATTTTTTAAGGCATGGATAGATTTTGAAATGAGAAACCCCTGATGAAGAGTTGTGTAGTTGTGGCTGTTATCAGGTGGGATAATTTCACTTTTCAAGGGTCAACCTTCTCAACAGCTTGAGTTAAAGGACTTGAAAACCAGCATTAGCTTCCTCCAACCCTAACATCATGGTGATAAATCGTACATTCTTGGGATAATACAATTCCTATGACATAAATATGTTTAATACACATCAATATATAATTGATACACATGAACTACATGAACTACACATTCCCCAGAGATGACATTTCTAAAGCTAGAAAGGCAATTTATTTTAGAAGCAGTTTTACATCCGAACAATCAATAAATGAAATGCTCCGACAACAAACGAAAAAGAGTGAAAAATAAATAAACTGGGATTTTTTTGTTTGGATACTTTCAAAGTCTAGTTTACTCTGCTGGATTCTCAAATGTTGCCTTTCCCAATTTTAAACCAATCTGTCCCTCCTTTTCCTGCCTTTATTTATATTCCAGAGTGCACCAAGGACGCCTGCTCCCCTACAACAGTACAACCTCAACCCTCCATCCTCACAGAGTTCAGCAGGACCTTCACCTGGGAGTTAAAGGCTCCTGAGAAGACAGTTGTGAGTCTGGACATCCTTGGAGACGGGCTGATGAAGACGGCACAGCCATGCTCTAATGGATTTCAGTTTTCGGTGACAACATCCAAAACAAACACCAACGGCCGGACTGAGTATTGTCAAGGAGGTTCTGTGACTCGTTTGGACCTGCTCAATGCAGCTGTTTTGTCTCTGCAAGTTAAACCACAGGCTAAGGTCGACTCTGTGGGGTTCCAGGCCTCCGCTGGACCGCTAAGTAAGAACAAATGTCTTAATACAAAGTCTGTAGTAACATTTATTTAGAGCTGTATATCTCAAGTTCCTTTACTTATGGCTGAACATCTAATTCCGTTAAGTGTTAGTAAAGCTGTTATTTATTATTTTGAAATCGTATAGTATTATTGATTGAAATGCTATTGAAACACAATATACACATTACACAGATAACAAATAGCATGCTGCTAAATGTTAGTTAGCATAACTGGATATTTCCCTCTCATTCTGAATTGCGTGAACATTTTCTATAACTTTAAAACATATTTCTCAATCTATTCAGGTTTAAATAAAGTAAAGTCATACATTTACAAATTATTTACAGTGAATTTTAATTCCAGGTTTAATCATTTTTCCTTTGAAATCTAATGCTACATCAATTTTTGTTCCATTGATCATACACTACAGATATGGCAACACATTGACTAGAATATAGAAGAGTTAAAGAAGGGTTTGACATGTTTGGATACAGCCTGCTACATTTATTTGCTTTAGAGGAGAAGATTAATACTACTCTCTATTTAGCGCTACTGGCCACTGCCATCAGGTTAATTTAGCTTAGCTCTAAAGACGTAACCAAGGGGAAGCAATTTATGTCTTGTTTGTTTAATCTGCACAAAACAAATAAATAGGATTAAACAATTGAGATGCTGAGTGGGTTGTAGAGAAGTGTTGGTAGGCTCTTGTAATTACCTCTGGACCAATCAATGCTAACGTTTTGCCCCTGTGTTCTAGACTTCGTGCTAAGATAATTAATCTGCTAAAGACTTTTTGTAAAACAGTGGTTTCAATCGCCTCATCTTACTTTGGCCTATTTCCCTTAATGTTTAACTTTCCATTAGGTTTTAATATGTGCAACTTCAACTTACTTTGTTTAAAATGTGCGAGTTGCTACAAAGATTTGAGGAAGGAAAACACTCAAATTTGTGATGGATTTACAAATTGCTATTGTTACTGGTCTCTAACCTTGTGTAACCTGTTCTTTGTATCACTCTTCTTTTTACCACTGTAGAGGGCCGAACAATGGTTATAACTGTGGACTCAAGCACGACAGTGGTGCTCAGCCGGGACGAGGAACCAGAATGTGAAGTGTGCTCTGTCGGAGGCGCCACTCCTGACTGTAGCCCCTCAGAGAAGACCCTGACAAACGTGGAAAAACTCTCGCTGGAGTTCGGCTGCCTGAAACCTCAGGATGTCTACAGCGTGAAGACGAAGAAGCTAATAGGTGAGAACGGTTGAGGTTACGACGTGCCAACATTTACTCTAATAATTTTAGGATTTGTGTTATTACACTTTGAAATGAGGTTGAAACTTCAAAATACAGAAACTAAGAAAGATATGTAAAGATGAATAAAATATTAAGTTATTTATGTCACAATCACTGACTATTTATTTAATCAATTATTCAATTATTTATTTTTGTATTTATTTAACAGGGACAGTGCACATATATTAACATTTCTGTAGATGTGCCAGAGAGATAATATTTTTCAACTGTAGTCCCTGGACAGATTTTATATATATTTCAGCATTTAAAAAAGTATTATTCATTGTTTTTCATCATTTACATGTACCGTATATTTGGTGTATATATAAGCTTGTTTCTTTAACATGCAGGCTAGACTCTCTGCTCTGTATCCAATACATATAGAAATACCTGTTTAACTATATTACATTTCAAATGTATTACTTATATTCCTCAGAGTGCACCCAGAGCTCCTGCACTCCTGCTGCAGGAGAAGTTGAACCTGACCCCTTCAAGGATTTCAAAAGATCCCTCACATGGGACATTACTGTACCAGAAAGGACTGTTTTATCTCTGGACTTCCCTGGTGGATTGAAGGAGATATCTGCAGCCGAAACTTGCGAAGATAGCCAACAATACTCAGTGAGCACGACTAAGAGTGACGGAAATACCCAAACCAAGAGATACTGTAAGAGCGGGACGGTCGCTAGTCTGGATCTGCTTGGAGCTACAACTGTGACTGTGGAAGTTCCCAAAGACGGTGAACTGGGCCCATTCAATGTCAAAGCAGCACCAAGAGGCAAGTATTCCCTCAGTCTGTAGCATGATAAAGAACAATATGTTGTTAACAGAAATTAAATACAAATATCATAAAATATTCATATAAACAGATGCTATTTCTTTTTAAATAACACAAATATGTTTGTGTGGGCACAGTTTGGTAACTAAAGCTTTAATGTATTGCATATCCTAGTTTTTGTTTTGGGGTTTTATTTAATAGGGAAGCTTCTCTTAGATACCAGGGGAAAAAAGAAATGTGAACAGGGTATTGTAATTCATTTTTGTTGGTGGAAATACAGGCAGAGAACAATTGTACTGTATCTAACATGTTTCCCAATACTGTTTAAAAAATACGGAAGACAAAATGGAGGAAAGGGAAAACAGTTAAATATACAATGTACACTCCTTCACAATAACAATTAAAGCACAAAAATACAAACAACAACCACCCTGTATAAGGCTTAGTTTATTTCACTTGGTACTAAACCATAAAGACAAATCAGTTTGATGCTAGTTTGTAAAATAATTGAGGATCTAATCTCTAGTATAGTAAGGAGAACATTTACAAGACAATTCATCCTAAAGGGGAACAGGAATGTGTGAACCACATTTCATGGGACATTTTATGTGATCTTGGTATTAATTCTGTTTTTCTTTAGGTAGCAGAATGATGTCCGTTGTGCCCGATCCCAACACCATCATCATCATCAGCAGGGTGACCACAGAGCCGGACTGCAGTGTGTGTACGAACAAGGGGCCCAAACAGACATGCGATCCAAGATTCCTTACACTCAGAGATCCTGGCAACACCACAGTAGAGTTCACCTGCCCTCAACCTCAGGATTTCTTCACTGTGGAGATCAACAGAGAAATTGGTATGAATGTAGAAATGTTTTAATACTTTTCAAAGTATATTTCCGAGCAACGGGGAAGCAAAAAATAAGGGTAATCAAGCAAACATGTAGGTCAAAGTATAGCGAGCCATTTTGCTATCACGTTCACTTTCAATGTAGAAAACTGCAACCTTAATTCCTGTTAGGTCTCTTCACATTTCACTTAATCAACATCCAACTTAAGTCAGTTTGATTCACTTTCTTTGATTATTTAAATGTTGTTTGTCTTTATGGAAGTTCGACAATAAAAATTCATTCAGTTTTGAACTGTGTTTTGCTCTTTTCGAGACACTTTCACATGGCATAGTATATTATTGTAGATTATATGTTTTAATAATCTCCTTCACTCAATGTTAACAATGTTACTTGTTTGCATGTATTAAGAACACAGTTATCTGGTCGGGACAATATTTACTCCCTTATATTCTCTTTCCTACGAATCCAGACTGCACAGAGGCCGCTTGTTCTGGAAACATCGTTCAGGCCGAATCCTCTCTGTTCCCCGACTTCAACCGGACCTTTACCTGGGATCTGAAAGTTGTCGCCACTAAAGCCTTCCAACTGGACTTCCCCGAACCGGGAATGCGACAGATTCCCAACGAGGAGACCTGCCCAGATGAGCACACATACTCTCTCGTCACATATCTGCGCAAGGGGCCAGCAACCATTGGTACCTTCTGCAAAGGAGGAACTGTGACGACCGTCCTGGCTCGCTATAAGGGCCGCATGTCTCTGCAGGTGCCTGGAGACAGGAAGCTGGATCCCATTGACTTCAAACTCAATGTTGGACCTGAGACCAGCAGTAAGTGAAGATTTTTTGGTTGGATGATACTTCTGTACCCTGCCAAATGTTTGGTCCATCCCACCCCACATGGAAGACATCACTTCATATCAATCATCATCCATCATGTTACAAGACATCCAGTCTTCATTCTTTTTTACACAAGCAGCAAGTTAGCACCAAAAAACACAAAACTTAAATCTAGTTTTAAGTAATGTAGACTTCTACAAATGTTACCAACATCTCTTTTGAATTTTATCACAGAAAATAAGAAACTGAAAAATAAATGTTTTTATGTTTTGTGTCCTTATTGGGACTTCAGACGCAGCACACAATGAGCACAGTCAGGAGAACTCAGAGCAATTATAATAATATTAATAAGAAGAATATAAATAATATCTTATTTTATAAATCCTTATCAAAACAAAGCCATACGTGCTTACATGAAGAAAAGAAAATGAAGAAAAGGTACAGCAATAGTAAAATAAGAACTGAAAAACATACAACTTAAAAAAGAAAAATTTGAAAACATAAATAAAAACTAGAGTCTGGTGAAATCAGGGTAGGGAGTGGACTAAGAAGTATGTTTCAAGGTTAGCTTTAAAAGAATCCACTGATGCAGCCTGCCTTTTATCCTTGGAGTAACTTACTTACAGTACCTACGTTAACAGCAGAGCTTGACATAATTAATGTCAATTAAAAAGAAAGTAAACAGTTTTTATTGACAAAAACTTTATTATAATGAAACATTTTTATTTGACAAAGATAGAAGTCTAAAATACCAAGCTTTTTTTCAGTCAAATGACAAGCATGACAAGAAAGAAATTGACTAAATATAATAAAAACTTACAAGGGCATTTCACACAGGACTTAGACTAAATAAAGAAATAGCTGACATAATAAACAGTAAAGCCTTTTTTTTTTTAACACTTCTCTCCTTTTTTCTCTCCAGTGGTGGCCATAGTGAAGGTCAACCTACCGCGAGGTGCGTCAGAGACAAACTTCATCTCTGCTAACTATCCGGGGGACTTCCCTGATGAACAGCAGATGCAGTGGGACTTCACGGTGCCCGGCATGCACAACTACACCATGCATATCACTGATCACACAGCTCCAGAGTGCCTAAAAAATGAAGTGGAGGTGGTGTATAAGAAAGAGGGCAAGAAGGGGACCAAAGTGAGTCTGACGGATCCTCAGCCGCAACACCAGCAGGGCAACTTCAACATGGTGCTGAAGAACTGTGAAACCAACCAGACGCTGGAGGGACTCAGCCTGAACTACAGGGTGTCTGTGATGAGGAGTGGACATCCAGGTAGAGTGTTTAAATTTCCGACCCTCTCAGAGTTATTTGACTCAGAGAAACGTGATGAGAAGTGTGCTTGTGTCTTACAAAAAATGCAAGGAAAGGATATTATATGTATATAATAGATATACTGTAATGTTCCGGCAACTTTTATTGGTAAATGCAGTGGCTGCTTGAGAAACAGGTAAATGCAGCAGACAGAATATCTGTTTCATGCAGATGGTTAGAATGAATGAATATGAATGTATGTCAAAATACATGTACTTTTAAGTGATAAAACAAACTAATATAATCTTCTCAAATAATATAACACAATGCATACTTTTATATTATATGTAGCCTACTTTTACTTTTAACACTTAAGGTACATGTTTCTGATACTACTTTTGTACTTTTTACTTCATTAAGTTTTTTAACGCGTGTTTTTTATAATATGGTATTTCTACTTTAACTTTAGTCATGTTTGAGTACTTCTTTCTCTTATGAATTGCATTTAAATACATCTAATATGTGCAGAAAATGGACAAAAATAAATCCCACCAAGTGTTGTTTTAACATGATTTTGTATACAGTTTTCCCAATAAAAGACTTCCTTTAAATATTGTCTTTCTTACAGTTCTGTGTGCAGTGGATCTTACCAAACACACAGGAGTGTCCCTGCAGATCGAGAAAGTGGGTTCTGATCCCTACTGTGAGATGAGCGTTAACTCCAAGGTAGAAAAGAAGATAACCATGGCTGCAGGCACTAAAGCCAGCCTCTCCTTCCTCGACTGTCCCACTGAAGATGTACGCCTGAGTGCCAGTACAGTTATTGGTAAGATAATTTTATTTTACATGTTTATGCTTTTTTTTGTAACTGTAGAAACCTTTTTTAAGTCATGTCTATCACAGTTTCCTTGTTAAAGAAATATTAAAGGTATAACGTTCATAATGGCATCTCTAAACACTCATGTTTGTATGAATATGAGCTAGAGCTTTAAGAACATTAGCTTAGCATGAAAACTGGAGACAGGCAGAAAAGTAATATCATTTTGTTTTTCTGTTTCAATAACAGAGTGCCAAAATGTGACTTCCTGCCCTACGACCCTCCTCACTGTACCCAAACTGGACTCCTGTCTACCGATGCCCCTCCACAGCTTCACCTGGCACCTGTCCGCCCCTCAGGACAGGACCGTGGAGCTGGAGTCGCCCACAGGAAGTCTCAGACAGTCGCTGCCCGGCCAGGAGTGTAATAAGTCTGTCTCCCTGCACGTGGCAGAGGGCGATGGGTTTCCTGTTGGAGATTTCTGTGCTCAAGGAATGATCCAGAAAGTCCAGGTGCAAGGCAAGGTTTCTGTCACAGCCACGGGCCGGGACTTCAGCAAGACCGGGGGGCAGTTTCTCAATGTCAGCTACAGTCAGGATATCCCAGGTACATAATGAACACACTCTTTATATTTATTTATATATGGATTCATCTGCAGGTTGTTTTTCAGCCAATGGGTTAATGAGTCTTTTTTCTTCATATGTATCTTTCTTTACAACTACTGCACCTTTTTGATTGAATGTCTTATTGGACCAACAATCCAAAACCAGAGATATGTCATTTAATATCATATATATTAAAGGCCACAAATTGTTTTTAAAAAAAAGCCTGAATCTGAGAATTGTGGGCATTTTAGCTACAGCTCTATAATGTTGTCCTTTTATTTATGGCTGGATTTGAAGTAAGAATGTTCTGACAGGTTCTAACATGTTAATCAAGTTGAGTGGATTTTTATTTACCAAAATAATCAATTAAAAAAAATGAAAATAATTAGTTGCAGCCCTCTTAAAAGCTTTCTATCTGCACTCTTCTGACATTTGTAATGTTGCTATATGTTGTGATTTTCCAGTGTAATTAATAGAGCACATTAATTTTACTTCAAAGTTCCACACAGGGGCGCTATTGTTCCACAGATCCTGGTGAATACAGTCCTGACACTCAGCAATAATGTCATCTGTTTTTGTTTTTTTAGAGAGCATCATTTACAGAGTCAGTCCAAAGGAGTTGTCTCCCACCCTGCTGGCCACCCCCAACTGGCCTCAGGGTATGAAGCCTATGTCCACCGTGGCCTGGATCGTCGCGGTACCGAGTGGGTACGAGGCACACGTGCTCTTTGTCAACATCAGCCAGCCCGAATGCAAAGACAGGCACACCTCCATCAAGGTGAGGATGCTGGGGGCGGAGGAGGAGATGATGAGCCGCAGGGAGGACGAGCAGGCGGAGGACAAGCTGACCGTGCCGCAAAGTTTCTATCTCAACATGTCCAACTGTATACCTGAGAAAGGGGAATTTGCTGCACTGACCAAAATCGTTCTGCAGAAGAAATCCAGTAAGAAAGCAGGACACATTCAGGCCTTTTACAAACATATTCCATTTGGCTAAAGTAAAGGATTGAATTTATTTATTGTTATTTTATTTTATTACAGATCTCTTGGCCATCCTCCTTGGGATAGCAGGAGCTCTTCTGTTGCTGCTCTTAGTGCTGGGCCTTTATTGCTTCATCACAAAGTGAGTACACCTGTAGCTGTGTTAACATTGGGGTGCTGTATTTTCCAAATTATTAAATATAAAAGTAGCAAACCTACCATTTTAATCCTACATCACAAACTGAAGAATAAAAACTTTGGAGTATTCTTGTAACTTTGGAAAGAAATACACCCCATATGGATACAGTACAGAGGAAGGTTTTGCACATATACAATTAACTATAGAACATTTCAATCACATTTGGTTTGTAGAAAAACCCAAAACTGGTTAAATCCTAGTTATAAAAGGAGTTCAATCCTAATTGGCTCTGTCAGTCAAAAATATTAACAAATACAGAAATGGAACAAAATAGAGAAATTATACATTTATTAATACCCCTCAAAAAAGCACTTTTAAACTCTAAATATTATTTATTTATGTATTTACTCATATTTTTGATTGCATTCTTAGGTGTGTAGTGATATTTTTGTCTATATTCTGTAAGATTAGTCTGTAACCACCTATGTCTTTTGACTCTTTCTCATTGTTTATGGTCTGCATTCATCTTGTCAAACAGGAAAAAGAAACAGGACAAAATGAACGTAGAGTCGTCCATCTACATGGGCAAAGGGAATATGTTCCGCCCTAGCGACAGGCACTTCACCAAAACTCGGTCTGATAACGAGTCCCACGTCTACGACTCCATAGACGATTCGAGGGTGTACGGCCACCTGCTGGGCGACGTCAGCTACGCGGACAGCATGCAGGACCACTACAACGGGGTGCAGACGGACTCCTATAAGACATTCACCGGTCCCACTGATGCACAGCTGCCTGTCATCAAAGAGCCGGACCACGAGCCTGAGATGGATCAGTTCAATTCGTTCCTGGACCCGTCCCAGTCCTTCCTCCCGCCCCGTCCACGTACTCCCATCAACCGGCAGGACAGCATCGGCTTCGAGGACCGAAGGATGGTGGACAATGAACTGTACACATTCAAGAGCACAGGGGACATAAAAAACATCCGGCTGTCTGGTGTCGACATGGATTCACAGCCCCCCATTATATTAGAGGACTCCTTGTAGTGCGTCAGGACTGTAGCTGCATGCCGGACCGCTGTTACTGAATCATCCAGAGAGTGCCGAGTATCTTTAGACTGTTCTGATGTGAACTCCGTGCCTCGATCACACTCAGGGAATCTGAGATCGATGAACTTCTGAATGTGATGAATATCTCTTCTTTGTCCGCTATTTCTAAAGCTTCAAGAGAAGCCCTCTTCTTTAAAGGAAGTTAGGCATTTTGGGAGATACCTTTTAGATTTTTTGCAGAAATGTGAACAAGGAAATCAATTCAATTTTCAAGTCTTCCCAGTAAATTTTACCTTACAAAGACACCTCTAAAGCTCTTAATGATTTATACGGATTCAACAAACAAGATATAATGTTATAATCCGTGGGCTTTAGAGGTGTTGGTAAGTGGGAGATATATAGATACAATTAAGATGTCATAGATAAAAGGGGTCAAAATTGAACTTCTCATCCAACTTTCAGTAAGTTAGTAAAAAATGTGACTATTCCTTTTAATGTTTGATTTGTTTAGTTTTATTACATCTTTGCTTATGTGGCATGGATTCAGGAGCAGGGACAGTGTCAAATGTGCAAGTACCTCTGTTCCTTGTTTTGTTAGTGTTTTTATATTGTTTACTTGACTTTTAAAGAGATTTTCTGTACCTGTAAATATAATGTAATTGTTTTTGCAATAAATTCTAGAAAAATGGTCTGAAACTGTTTACTTACAGTTTTTCTCGATTGCTAACACAATTCACAAAACCCCACACCCAAAGTGCAAAACAACTAACTGCCCTCAAAACTACATAAACACTTACCAAATGCAAACTTTAGCACCAAATATAACACACTTCCTTCATAATACTAGATGGTTTGACCACCCAACTACACACTGCTGAGCATAATCTAAAGCACGTTCATCTGTTATGGGCTATGCTCTGTACATAGAGGTTTCTACAGAGAAAGATTGCTTGAGTATACAGAAATACAGTACATGAAGAAATACAAATGAGTTGTTGAAAAAAATCATATTTTATACAAAGATAACATTGTGCAACATGCATCTCAGCACATAGTTACTATGCTTCGGATCTAAGTGTGATGCATTGTTTGCCAAAACCCAGTTTGTAACTGCTGCTTCCTGTGCCTCATTGAAAATCCTTAGCCTTCCACCTGCACCTCTTTGTTTCTCAGTCCTTCAGATAAACAACAAAGATAGGGGTTGGTCAGTGTCTGTGTTGCATCAAAGTAAGTTTACCACAGTACATTGTGCAGGATGTTTGTACAGTTATAGTATGCAACATGCTAACAATTCAATTACAGTAATGAAGTAAATACGTTTCACACAACAGATATAAGCGCTGATATATCATGAATTATGGAGAGCTAAAAGCTGTTAACTAACCTGTTTTCAAGTCTAAATGTCCGGATTAAAGAGGCAACAGTAAATCGGCTTAGATTAGGCTGAACCCTCTGTCCAGCCTCTCTCATCGTCAAACCATGGTTGATAACATTTCATTTCATTAGAGAGTAGTCTTCTTTGTCCGCGTCCTCTCCCTCCAGCTCTACGTCTCATTCTTCCTCCTCTCACTCTCACCCCACCTCTTCCTCCTCATCTCACTCTCAGCCCCAGCTCTTCCTCATCCTCTTGCTCTTGCTTCCATGTTGGCTTCCATTGTTGCTGTAAGAAAGTACTCACCTGTGGTCTTTTCATAGTGCTAACATCCTGATTGATGAGCCAACAATTATGCTATCAGGTGTTTGGTCAGGTGGAACGTGTTTCTTGTTTATTGGTCCATGTGTGAGGCATTTTGAATATCAGTGTTTTAAATCAGCTAACACATGGCTTTATGTCAGATTCCTGTGTCTTACGTGGAGAAACGTGTGCAGTGGTTTGCAAAAGTGCCATGTTGATTTGCAAATTGTGTGAAAAGCTGAAAACGTGTTTAGAGTTTTGGAGATTTGAGCCGATGTTTTGCTCTCTGAGTGTCAGTTAAAATAATTGTGCTTTATGTAGCATTTTAGTGTGTTAGCAATCGAGAAAAACTGTAAGATGCCCTGAGACACAGTGTCGTGAAGAAAAAAAAAAAGCCCCCGCCGAGGGGGGCTTTGGGGCTTAACTGGAATGAGGGATTACACCTGAGAGAAGAGATGGGTCTATGATTTTTAGAAAATCTGAAACGGTGAAATTTAAAACATTTTTTATCAAGCCCGGTATAAGAATAAAGGCAGCAGGAGGATTCCAGATATTGTATAATGCCATCCAGGTTTTTATTGTTTATAGAATAAAAGTGTTTTGGACACGGGCACAACGTAAACTCAATACCTGATACTGACGAACTGACTACTTGCCTGATTGTCAGAATGTTAAGATTGAGGCAATTGTATCGTGTGTCCTGGTAGATAGAAGTTCATAAAGCAGGAGGGTTTGAATCTTCACACAAATCTTTCTACACTTGAAATACATTTATTTGAAACCACTACTAAAAGGTTGACGCAAAATGTATAATGGGTGTCAAATACCCCATGCTTTCTGTCTTCCCTTTAGTTTGTACCTTTAAACGGACTTACTTGTATAATTTGTGCTTTGGTCAGAACTCTGTTAGTTTCCTCATGTGGATTTAGAGCTTTCTTTCTGAAAGCTATATCGGTTGTGCCTCCGTCTGTACTATAGGGCTCCTATGTCCCCTGCAGCCATAAGCAGCTCCTGTATGGCCATATAGTTTCAGTTCTACCAAATCCTCCCCTCAGACAATGCTGCTCTGCTTGGCTAACGTATTGTTCGGTCTGTGGGAACCAGCTTCCTACACTGAGAATCTGAGGAGCGAGCGAGAGAGAGCATGCTCCTTTTCCCACTTTGCACAGACATAATAGCATTCTTAGAGTGAGAGAGCAATGAAAGGCAGTGGGAGAAAGTTGCACACTCTTCACACTTCAGTGGTCCTCATTCCCCCCCCTTCCTTCCTTCTCTTCTTCTTCCTCCCCCCTACCTTTTTTCCTTCCCCTTCAGCACACACACTTTTCTTCTTAGGGGATTCTTTTGAAATGGGACAAGGGAGAGGGCGAGATCAAAGGAGACCAATTGCCACACACAGCATTCCCAGCCGTGCTCTGTACATGTACACATACACATACACGTACACGCACACACACACACACACACACACACACACACACACACACACACACACACACACACACACACACACACACACACACACACACACACACACACACACACACACACCAACACCTGCCCTTCATCTTCAGTATATTTGTGATGGTACAGATATGGCAGACCCACTATATAGTCTCCTGACTGTACTGAATGGACAGTATGATCCTGTTTATGAATACTGTACCTCAGTCTCAGAGTGGGAATCTGACAAATACAAAGACTGAAAATCGAGGTATGACACGGAATCATGACCCCCCCAAACACTTACCGCTAATCACCTATAAACAGCACTCCAACCCTCTAACCGTCGTAAAGCTAGAATTCCTTATGTGGGATAAAATAAATCATCAAATAGAATAAATGCTGTCAATTTTCTTCATGTGTAAAATGAAATTTAAAAACCAACCCATGAGATTGATTACAACTGTTTTTAGGGCTTTTACCACCTGACACAACCCAGGCTGGTGAAATGGATGGATCATTTGAGGGGTACTAAGATTAAAACATTATTAACAAAAAAAGAGTGCAGACCCTTGTTTAGCTGCCACAATTCTAATGTTTGATTAAACATTTACAATTAAAAATGGCTTTATGATAAAAATATTCCAACCATAAACAATTGTTGATCACATTGTTCTTTGCCCCTATTAGCCAGTAAAGATAATTGAGGAGTCAGCAGTAAATTATGTTATAAAACTATCAGAAACGTCCTCCTGTAAAACAAGAGAGTTCAGAAGTTCTTGAACCTCCTACATCACATCGTGATTAAGTGTAGAAATTGGATCGTCTGTTGCTAATAGAAAAAGGTTGGCAAACTCCTTCCAATCAGACATCAGAAAGGTTTGAGGTGAAGTATTTTCCAGATCTATTCAACCATCAAAAACCCATCTGAAGAACATGCTGGCCCCCTCAAGTCTTAACCCTTAGATGCACAAGTGACTGGACCCTACATTCACACATAAGTGGGTCAAAAAGGACCCGTATTAGAATTATACGTGTTTTTATGCCATTTTTGTGATTTTGGTTAAGAAAAATCACTTGTATGATATACAATATATATTATATTTTATTTTATTTATATTTTGGTTCACATGAGAAATATTTTATATTTAATTGTTCACTATTTATGATTTTAGAAATTCTTTTTACATTTTGAAAAAAAACGTTTTGAATATATTGATGCAAAGATCTCCACTATTCTGAGACCCTCAAAGTATTCCAGTCCCTTTTCAAAACTCATATCTTCTCCTCTTGTATACTCATAGCCCACGCCCCATCAATCCATGCCGGTTGATCAAGTTTGATAGTCCTATACCCCCCACCCTAACCTTCCCTTATATTGTAAAGCGATTTTGAGTCCTTGAAAAGCCCTATACACATATAATGCATTATTATTATTATTATTATTATTATTATTATTATTATTATACTGACAGGTATCAGATCTTGCTGTGTAAAATAATCTTCCTGAGAGATGTCACTTGTGATGTAGTCTGTGTGGTCTACAGTCAATGTATTCCTGACAGCAAGAGGTGATAAGAATCAAAGGTTCTCATAGGATTCCATAGAAAATGCATGCAGGTCATTTTTGACCCACTTATGGAAGCTTGGTGTAGTAATACAAAAACTACCATTTCTTAAAATGTATATAATGTACATTTAAAATGTGAATGGCATGATATCCAAAAAATGTTTTTGGAGGAATAGCTGAAATATGAAATGTTAAAAAAATTGAATTGCAAAGATACTCGAAGAAAACCACCTCACCGGGTAAAAAAAGTCCCACTTATGCATCTAAGGGTTAAGTACGTTTTTAAGTTGAGAAACCATAGACCGTACGAGCAGGTATGTTTGCGTTAGTGACCTAAGAAGACTGATTAGATTATAACTTAAATCATTAGATAATGAAAACTTCCTAAACACTTCATTAATTTATTTTTCAAAGAAACTAGCCTGTTTTCTCAGGTGAGTATTACTTAAAAAGCTTGGAAATATACTTGTTGGTGTCTCAGTGATGGTGGAGATAATGACCCATTATTTGTTCAGATACTTAAAGTGACTTAAAGTCCCATACAATGTCTGTTGAACTTTGCCATACCATAATGTTGAGGCTTTGACTAACATCAATTCACTGCAGTTCCCTTTTCTGAAGGTTTTTTCTTCTTCATTCTCCTGTTTTTGGTATAATATCTATAACGACCATGTTTTTCCTCTTTAAGAACCTTTAATAGAGAAAATCAGGAGATGATGAGAGGCAAATGTTAAACCTGAGCATCTGTGTGTATCAAGTGAGCAACCAGGATACAATATGTTAGACTTTCTGTTAAACAAAGCACTTGCAGAACTCTTTCCACACCTCCAACTGCCAGCAGCCAACAGGTATACAGAGGAGCTAAATCTGGCCTCACACATTCCAAGGCACCATATGCTATCTTCCTGCACAACTCAGTCACTGTGTGGCACCTCTGCTTGTTAGAGTCCTCCCACAGTGTTTCAGGGAAAGGAGAGTGTACTGCCGATAGAGATCATACACTATGTATTGATTTAAAGGGCTAATATGTGATTTCCGAGAATGATAACCTATGCATAGAGTACAGCCAGACGACTGTTTTCTTGGCATAGAAGTGTTTATCTTTTAGAGGTCAACATGAGATGTGTGACTTCTTGACTTAATTCATTTATTCTCCATATCAATATTGGCTAAGAATCACAAGACAAATGTTCAGGAGGGAAATGATGTCAAAAATACCCACTATACTGCAGCTTTATAAAAACAATGTATCAAATGACAATGTAAAAGTGGTTGCTCATACAAACCATAGTATCTGTGACTCAGTGACCCCTAACTAATCAAAACATGTGCGTCGTTGTTTGAGTGTGGGTTCAGGTGATGCAGCATATCAGACTGCTAGCATCTATCGACCTGAAACGGCACCTTCCGGTCAAAGAAAGTAACCACAACCCTTATAATGGATAACTGTAGCCCTTTTTATACTTAATTTTCATGTGTACCTACAAATAACATGAATAGGACTTGGAAATGCTTCAGAACTTAAGAAAGACTTAAGAAAGACTCTTTTTAGTTTCCGTCACCCCAACGTTTGTTTCGCAGTCATCATCACTGGTTTAGTTATGATGATTCCCACACATATCAGGCTTAAGCATCATTTAGTATAATTTAGATTTACTCTGGGAGCAATGGGAAAATATCAGCCTGTCCTCCTACAAAAACGACCAAATAGGTCGATTGTTTAAGCACCTTATGGCGCATTCACACTACAGCGCGGAGCTCGCTTTAAGCGTGCAGAGCCGTGCGGGGCTCGTTTTTGGTTGCGCTTCCACTTGGCCTAGTTTTGGCCCGGGGCTACTTTTTCACCTTTTTTCTGGCCCGAGTCGCCCGACTAAATCGTGGTTCTATCGAGGCCAACAAACAGTGCTGAGTCGGGCTGAGTTTGCTAAACTAGAGAGAGAATCGCTGTCAAGGGGGCTACAACTACAACAAGATGAACATATTTTACCGTGATTTAATTGTAATACTCATTTCAAAATGATGCCGAAGTAACAACATACTGATACCGGTTAGTAAAAACCATAAATAGACGGCAGGCGAAAAATCTTTTAAAATGCATGTTTTCTAATGGAGATTTGGCTAAGCTAACGTTATATATGCTCCGACCGTCCACACTCACAACAACGGCCTATACAGACATAAATAAACCAGCGACTGTATTCGCCATGACACAGGCAGTCTGTGGTTTTACTTGTTTAACTTTTGTCTAGTTTCTGAACAGATATGAAGAGCTGCGAGCTCTGAGTCCTAAGAGCTAACGGCTGTGTTGTTTTTCTGGGGCGCTCATTGAAGATGACGTCACGGCTCCGCCTACACTGCGTTACTATAGATACTACCCCAGTTCCTAAACTGTAATGTGAGCGCAGCATTAAAGTGAGCCGGGCCTAATAAGGCCTAACCAAACCGAGCGAGGCCGAGCGAGGCCGAGCGAGGCCTGCAGTGTAAATGCGCCATTAGATTACGACCCATAGCCACGTTTTAAAGTGTAGCACCTCTAGTGGTCGTGTAAGAAAAAACATGCTCCCGTTTATTCACAAAAAATCCTAAATTGTAGAATAGTTTGGCCATTAAAATGCTTTTTGATTAGATTTCTAGCGAGAAGTGTATGTTGTACTTTTAGAATCCACGTCCAGTGGATGTGTAGGATCTATAGTTTGATAGATATTACAAAGATGATTTGAGGTCTCGCCAAGATAACGTGTATTTGCGGCAGCTTCCATGTAAAGTTAGCGTGGGTGAAAACAGTTTTTCCGGTCTCAAAGTTTTCATAATAAAACCGGATATATTCCCCTCACTGTCAAGTTATATCTGAATTACTCATCCACTAAAAAACATCAGTTTATCCTTGTTGATTATACAATATTGATTGGTTTAAATGGTGTACAATGATTTTGTGTTTTTAACCTTCGATTCAGAGAAGCAAATAGTTTTTTAGGAGTTTAGACACTACAGTTTCCGAAGACACTACACTACCCAGAATCCCCAGCTATCGTTTGGGACTACAACATCCGAGTTGCTTTACAAACCCCGTGATTAGTCATGAAGCCCTGTGATTGGATGTTGGAGTGGCAGTGCGACAAGGTTACGCTGAGCGTCAACAGCTCTTTGAAATGGAATGGAACCACGGCAGAATTTCCTAAACTGGAATTGGACGGTTCCAGCCCCCGGCTCCAGCCAACTTTGCAGATTCTGATTAATGATGTGAAATATAAACAACCCTTAAATCAGACTTTAGTTACACCTGACTCAAATTCAGGGAAGGTGATTGTCAAGTGCCAAAATAAACTATGCAATATATTGGACGTTAAGTACTTTGTCAGACTTCATATTTATCTGTGGATAACCCCAACGTTTTTTTCTTATTTAAAAGAAGACCTTAACTTAAAGTATTCTTTGATGTTAAATAAAGCCTAGTTGGTCTGTTTTGCACATCCTCCTGTTAATATCTTTGGACGTCCTGCACTAAACTGTTTTATTGTAGAGATCACTACAGTATCTTCTTGATATTTGATATTCTATATTTTTATCATGCCTTATACTTTCCCCCAATTTTGTATGTAGGNTGGGGGGGGGGGGTGTTAGTGGAGTTCAGTAAAGTCAACGGGGCGGGGGCGCAGTTCTCCAGTGACGGGGGGGCACAATGCCGTTGTACAGACCGACGTTAACAGCAGCCCTGTCTGTGCACACGGAGACCAACTCGTCCGGTGATCTAACCGCCTTCTGGAAAAGCTTCACAAGTACGTCGGTACGCAAATGCGCTTTGTGACACAAGAGACGGTACGCATTTCAGATTGTTGCCGTACCTGCGTACCAGTTATGTGCACCCCTGCATATAATGATATAATAATGTTTCTGGAAAGTCACATGGAAATGTGACTTTCTATAATAAGCCTATTTAATCACTCCATATTTATTTGATAGTTCACTGTCCCCATGGCATGAACACTAAAAAGTGTCCCAAAAAGACAGAAATGTTATCTGATCCGGAAAACCAGATCAGGAGTCGAAGCTTTGCATTACAAAGCTCCCTTGCTTTGGAACCAACATTCTCTTTTTATTAGGGAAGCAGACCAACATTGTCCAAGGTCCAACATTTTAAGAGCTTGTTTAAGACTTTCCTTTTTAATAAACTCAGCTAGAGCCGGTTTTAAATGTCCCTGTGTTTGTCCTCCCGAGTCCTACATTGTATGGTATGTTATTCTATTGTTTTTACTGTCATTGTATTTCATGGTCTATCATGATTGTTTTTTTTTTCTTCTTGTAATTTTAACTATATTTTACACTGTCATTCATGCTTGTTAATCTGTAAAGCCCACTAAGACAAACGTGTTTTGTGATATTGGGCTAAATCAATAAACGTTGATTTGGTTTACCAACAGGAATGGATAAAGAGACATTTCTTCTTTGTAATATGCTAACAGTTTTTGGGACTATTTTGTATGCAAATCCTTCCACCAGGGTGTGGTGTTGTAACATATGTTCATGCATCTCCAACACATCCCAATGCAAAAAACACAATAGCAAGGAAAATATGATCATATTTATAACAAAACGTGTGCAGAAAGCTAGTGGGTCAGCAGGTTTCCACCTTCTCAAGTTAGAATAAATCATATCGGACTTAGAGATATTCTGTTGGCTCATGTTTCTTGTCTCCCCATCTCTAGCTCAGCCAATGCAACCCCTGAGTTTGAGGGCAGAGGAGGCGAGGAGCTAGGCACGGAGCTGAGTAACACACTCTACAAAGTCTTCAACAACAAACACAGTGTGGACCTGAAGAGCCTGTGTATCAGCGCAGGAGAGCACTGCTGGGTCCTCTACGTGGACGTTCTGGTGAGTAGGGTCTGATAAGGTCTTTCAGTATCCCACATGGCAATTCAGCATTAAGCCCCCATAGCTCGGCTAATGGCCAGGTGGGCCTCTCTCTAGCTCTCTTCAGAAATCCTGACTACCTATGCCATTCATTTTATTTTATTTTGATGCAAATATTTGGTAATTAGCATGTTCTGTTATTTTTTTGTGAAAGTTTAATAACATTTTGTTGCTAAAATCATTTAATCTAAATGTTAATAATTGAGCAGCACTAACGTGTCCTAAATCTAGAATTTTTTTTTATCATATTTGATTAACTTTTTTTCCAATTCCTATTTGTATGACACAATGATAACTAGTTCTTGCATGTCAAATACTGCTTGATAAACCATGCAGAGCAGCAGCGCTTCTTTCCTTGTTTCAGTGGAGGAATAATCAAATGTGCATAATTGACCTCAGAACAGCTAATTTTGTCAATGTATATTTAGTTCCCATGATCGTATCTAAGATAAAATCTCACACTGGCATGTTTCCGCAGCTTTTGCAGTGTGATGGAAACCTTTACGATGCCATCTCAGTAGCCATCAAGGCTGCTCTCTTCAACACAAAGTAAGACAAATGTTATCCTGTTGTTTTTTAGGGTCTTTGTTGATCAAACTGTGAAATAATATGATGTCTTACAGCTGTTGTACGTCTAATTCTTATACAGTAAAGTGATATAACATATATATCTTCTGATTACCTTACTGACAGAATTCCCAGAGTGCACATATCGGCCGACGAGGAAGGAGGGAAGGAAATTGAGCTGTCAGATGACCCTTATGATTGCGTGAGACTCAATGTAGAAAATGTTCCTTGCATCGTGACGTTGTGCAAGGTGAGCTACCCTGCTGATACTCAGGAGAAAAGCATTTTTAAAGACCATCATCACACAAACAGTGACCTTGGCATTGGCTGTTTTCCTGCAGGTGGGCCACAGGCACGTGGTGGATGCGACTCTGCAGGAGAAGGCCTGCTCTGTGGCCAGCCTGATAATATCTGTCACACACAAGGGCACGATCACCTGCACCAGGAAGGTGGGCGGAGGCAGCCTGGATCCGGAGAGCATCTTTGAAATGACAGAGGTGAGTGTGGCCCTCCTCTTCGACTCTTCCAGGTTCTGAATATGTTTATGTTTGAATGAGGATGTGTGCTAGAAATGTTCTAAAAGGTTGTGTTGTCTGCAGGCAGGTAAACGTGTCGGGAAGGCCCTCCATGCTCCGCTCATGAAGCTGCTGCAGGAGGAGGAGAGTTTGGGGAAAGCACGACAGAAAGTTGGCTTCCTTGGTTAACATAATTTACATTTGATGTACATGTATTTAGATTTTTCTAATAAAAATTCATTTCTACTGCCTTTCCTCTTTGCACTTGAATTATAATACATTTTTATATGGTATTTAATATTTTAGGATTTGAATCCCTGTACAAGGGACTACGTTGCAAGTGGCTGAACAGTATATTTTTCACCAAAAGGTTTATAAACTCTTATTCCCTCCTATCAAGCCTAAGTTCAGTTTTGTTTAGTAATGAAACAAAGATCACAAATAAGTCCAAAAATAAAGTCCAGTCTGTCTGTCGTTTTGTTCCCGCCACGTGTCGGTCTTCCAGAAGGACCAGATGTGACTCTGGATCACTTCCACTCAGACTGTTGTGGGGTGTGTGTGCTGGCTGAGAACAGACACGTCCTAAACAAACTCCTATGGAAAGAGCTCCTGCAGCAGATTGGACAATATAACATGTATACAGAGAATACTTCATAAAGTTACACAACATTTAAAGTTCACCTATTATGCAAAATCCACTTTTTCATGTCTTTTATGCATAAACATGTGTAAAGAGATTTGCTCTCTTTTTGTCCCGATCCATTTCTATAAAAACCTGTCTGAAAATGAGCTGATCAGATTTTGCCCACTTTATGATGTCATAACGATTTTTTTGGTTTATATAACCATTAGCCAATAACAAACCAAGGTAACCCCTGCCCACCTTATCACCTGAATCTCCTCCTAGAGCACCATTGTGTTCTTTTTAACCAAATATCTCTCAGAGGGGCGTGGGGAGTGGCTCCTTATTTTCATCTTACTTATTGTAAGTCGCTTTGGATGAAAGTGTCAGCTAAATGCAATGTAATGTAATAAAGAAAGATGGACTTTTATTAATCCCTCGTGGGGAAATAGTTTCTCTGCATTTGACCCATCCTAGTGTTAGGAGCAGTGTGCTGCCATTTTGAATGGCGCCCGGGGAGCAGTGTAGGGAACGGTGCCTTGCTCAGGGACACCTCGGTAGCACTTGGTCTTGCCGGGACTTGAACTGGTGACCTTCCAGAGGGGATTATGGGATGCTGCAATGATCTGTTTGGTATTTCGAGCCAAACACTTCAGAGACATGTTTTGTATATCTATAGACCTATAATATATTGATGAAAAACAGTATAATAGGGGACCTTTAAAATAAGGGATAAACTTGTAGATCCCTAAAGAGTTAATTGAGAGCTGCATCAGAGACTTCACAGGTTATGATGAATGACTTTTATTTCAGTGCTTCACTGCCGCCTCCAGGAAATCGGATGTGTTTCCAAATGAGGCCATACCTTAACACTTCCAAAAATCTTTTGGCCAACAAAGTTGTATTCCCATCCTTTTTTTCAGGTTTTAACTACTCTTTAAAGCCAAGGAATAAATTGTAACCAGATTTTTAAGCATTTATGCAGCACATAAATCAGGATTTGTTTACTTCTTTTATATATACTTTGATGAAAGCTGTCTGCCAGCCTCCACCTGCTTTCCAGGCATGGTTCTGGTTTGTATTGGCTTTCCTTTTGAAGGGTTTGGAGCCAGCTGAGATGCATGCACGCCATCCTTTAATGCTCCTGAGGTCAGTTTGTTATTCCTGCAAATGGCAGTTTTTGACATCAGTATTTTTCCTTGTTTGGAGAGATGAGAAGGAGGGTGTGAGAAAGAAGAGAGAGGAGGTGAATCAATTCTAAGCATCCACTGAAGCAGCCTCATTTAACAGGTCTCATCATGGACATTGTTAAATTGAACAACTGCGGCTGCAATAAATGTGGTGCAACTATGTAATCCTGGCTCCTCATTTGTTGTTTCCAGTAAAACACACTCCCTCCTTCACTTCACTGTTTTTCATGGCTAGAGTTCCTGTGGTTGAAATGGTTTTCCACACCCAGATGCAAAAGCTGGCAGTCTCAGTTTAAAAAGTAAAACTGTAATGATACAGTTTTTCTCGATTGCTAACACACTAAAATTCTACATAAAGCACAATTATTTTAACTGACACTCAAAGAGCAAAACATCGGCTCAAATCTCCAAAACTCTAAACATGTTTTCAGCTCTTCACACAATTTGCAAATCAACATGGCACTTTTTGCAAACCACTGCACACGTTCTCATTCATAACACTCCGTTCGATGTCTCACTATGGGATGCGCCTCAACGCGTATGCAAACAGAAGCATCAATCTCATTACGCCAATCCTGATTGGCTGGTGATCTTGACGTCTACGTCAGGGAATCCATCCATCCTATAAGTAGCTTGCGCTACGACGCAGCGTCATTCAAACACCTCTTCTCGCTTCAGAGCAAATCTCGAATTATCAGTAGCCGGGCTAGCTTAACGGTCCACAGACAGAACCCAAAGCTAACATTCGGTCGACGTGTGCTTGCCGGTTACTTTTTTGCTTTGCAAGAAGACTGAACAATATTAACACACCAGTTAATATTGTAATCTGCCTCGCCGTTTCTTTCTTTCGAAATTACGGTAAGGTTTGATTTTTTCTTCAAGCTAGTAACATACCTGTTGCTAGCTTTTCTTCTCTCCACCACCACGGTAGCGAGGACGTTCTCTTTTCTCTCTCACACCAGAAGAGACGGAGATAAAAACAAAAGGTATTAACACACCAGTTAATATTCTTTAAAGAATAAAGTCTACACCGTCGCTTTTTCCTTTCGGATTAACGACAAGGTTGGATTTTTTTCTCAGTAACGTACCTGTTACTCCACGCCGACACCCCGGCGAACAAAGATGGACCCTTTTCTCCCTCACACCAGAGGAGTCAGGGACTCGGAGGCTCGGCTATGCGGCTGCCGGGTTTAAGATCGCAGGCACAGACTCACACCAGGTCTGCTCGTCCTGCCTCGGGCTGGAACACGCCCAGGAGGCTATCGATAACCCCAGCTCGTGCGGGCATTGTGCCCGCTTCACCATTAAGAGCCTCCGCCTCCGCCTAGCACGCCAAGCTAGCTTGTCGGGACAGGACCCCCTCATGTCGGCTGATTCGCCGGCCGGCAATCAAGACATGGTGGCGTCCGCCGCAGAGATTGAGCCCAGCGCTGTGTCAGGCTGGGGCTCAATAACAGCGGCAGCCGCTGAACCGGAGCCCCGCGCCGTGTCAGGCTGGGGTCCGGTGGCGGCAAGAGCCGCGAGAGCGGAGCCCCGCGCTGTGTCAAGCTGGGGCTCCCAACTGGACCTCACCATGGTTCCACCCCNTCTGTATCGCGAATGTGAACGGGGAGGGGGTAGTGGAGTATGAAGCCCTCTGTATCGCGAATGTCAATGGGGGGGAGGTGGTGGAGTGCAGAGCTTCGTCACGAAGCTCTGCACTCCACCACCTCCCCCCCATTGACATTCGCGATACAGAGGGCTTCATACTCCACTACCCCCTCCCCGTTCACATTCGCGATACAGAGGGCTTCATGGGAACTTTGAGGGGAGCCAGAAGTTGGAGTACCAAACACTGTCTCAAGGTACTTATTTGAGTACCTCACTGAGAAAGTTGTGTGCACCCCTGGATATATCACATATCTGTAACTAAATGATACATGAATTGAAACAAAACACGGTATAAACTGAGGAGTGACTCCCGTGAGGTTCATGTATTTTCTTCACTCCGCTGGGAAACTGCTCTCATGTCAAGAAGCATCAGATCAGTGCATGCGCTGCATCGTCCAATCAGTGAGCGATACACAGTAAGGGGGCGGGGCGAGTGTCTGAGGATTTCATCGAAGGATGGTCTGGTGGTTCCTCGATTATAGCTCCTCCATTATCGGTCCTCGCCATTGGGACGGTACTCNGTGTGCCTTGGCAGTCTCAGGGGTTTCGGCATTATGCCATGGAGCTATTCTATGTTGTTTTATTTTCTTCTTTTTCAAAGTAGCAACAGAGTCTAATTTTATTCGCAATATTATTGCATATTATCTTCAATTATTATTATTGCATATTATCTACAATTAAGTAAACTTTTTCGGGGTTTTATGCAAAGTATTATGTTATGTGTGTAAACCTCTTCAAA